TACCACTTAAAAGGTCCTAATGGCTAGAGAAGGGGTGAATAGCCTATAAAAATTTCTACAACAACACTTAACAAACTGGTTAGACAAATATAAGGTGAAGCGAATGTTACGCTAGCCTACTAAAATGCAAGCCACCTACACAATTCTAGTATCTGTAGTCTCTATCCACACAAAGGCTATGTCACTACACTAAGTTAGTGAGCTCTCAAAGACTAACTAAAGAGTCTTACTAACCACTAGACTCGACACAAGCTTGCTCTCAAGACTAACTACACTAAAGAGCGAAGCAACACTAGAAATATAAATACAAGGTAGGGGATATGATGTTTATACCGTCATGTCAAGGATAGAGCCAATCCCAAGATGATCACAATCAATCACAATGAATACCAAGAAATCCTCGGACAAGGTGACACAAGATTTTTTACCGAGGTTCACTTGCTTACCAACAAGCTAGTTCTCATTGTAGTGATTCACTCACTTGGAGGTTCACACGCTAATTGACATCACACGCCAAACCCACAATCGGGGTGCTACACAACCTGCATAAGATGAGGATCACATAAGCCACGAGCAATCCACTAGAGTACCTTTTGGCTCTCCGCCAGGGAAAGATCAAGAACCCCTCACAATCACCATGATCGGAGTGGGAGACAATCACCAACCTTCGCTCGATGATCCTCACTGCTCTAAGCCATCTAGGTGGTAGCAACCACCAAGTGTAACAAGCGAAACCTATAGCGAAACACGAACACCAAGTGCTTCTAGATGCAATCACTCAAACAATGCACTTAGATTCACTCTCAATCTCACAAAGATGATGAATCAATGATGGAGATGAGTGGGAGGGCTTTGGCTAAGCCAACAAGGTTGCCATGTCAATGCAAATGGCCAAGAGAGTGAGCTTGAGCCGGCCATAGGGCTTAAATAGAGAGCTCCATGAATAGAGCCATTGGGCACCTCAATGCAGCTTTCTCAGGGCGATCGGACGCACCGGTCAATATGACCGGATGCTAGGCCCCTGCGTTTGGTCGTGGGTCGCTGCCACATGTCACCGCTTTGAACGTGCGCCACCCGATCCTAATGGTCAAAAACTTCCCACGCTGAAGTTAATGAAGGACCGAACGCATCGATCTAGTGACTGGACACGCTAGCCCTGCGTCAGATCCACAAAACCGCGCGCGCTACAACACACGACCAGACACACCGATCAACCACAGCGTCCGCACATTAGGTCATTTCCAGAGAGCTCCTCGAGCACCAAAACCATGATCGGACGCGTCAGGTGCACACGACCGGACGTGCCACTGCATCAGGTCTTCACTGCGCTCACTCAGCCGCTTACGTCACTGTATGTCATGAACGACGGACGCACCCTCTGCGTGTCAGGTCACATTCAGCTCCTACGTTCGGTCAAGCAACAGATAGAGACCGAAGGCGCCACCAAATTTTATAAATGACTGGACTCACCACCCAGCGTCTGGTCAACATGAGTTCAACGTTCGGTCACTGTTTTTCAGTGACAAACAACTCCTTTACTTCACCAACATCTCCACCCTTGCTCAAATGTGCCAACCACCAAGTGTATCACCTTGTGCACGTGTGTTAGCATATTTTCACAAACATTTTCAAGTGTGTTAGCACTCACTAGAATCTAAATGCATATGCAATGAGTTAGAGCATCTACTAGCACTTTGATAACAGCATTTCGATACGAGTTTCACCCCTCTTAATAGTACGGCTATCGATCCTAAATGTGATCACACTCGCTAAGTGTCTCGATCACTAAACCAAAAAGCTCCTATCAAGTTTCACCTTTGCCTTGACCTTTTTGTTTTGTCTTTCTTCTTTTCCAAGTCCAAGCACTTGATCATCACCATGGTCACACCATCATCATGATCTTCACCATTGCTCCACCATTTAGAATAGTGCTACCTATCTTATGATCACTTAGATAAACTAGGTTAGCACTTAGGGTTTCATCAATTCACCAAAACCAAACTAGAACTTTCATAAGCCCACTAATCGTGCTATGGTTGAATCCAAAATATTTTTAAAAAATTATAAGACTATGAATCCTTTATACATGGGCGCCGCTAGCGCCCAGATGTCCAGAAGGACGCCCGCGGCTGTAGTTGGTTCCCCCTTCGTTTTCACGTGTCCACGCATGGGCCCATGCCACCTAGACATCGCTCGACTATGCCTGCATCACCCGCGCCCACGCAGGGCCCACGCCGCTCGAACATCGCCTGCGCATGGACCTCTTACACCCCTCCCGCTTCCCACGCGCATCTCATGTGCAAACCCGATCCACTTTTGAAACATCCAGGTGCAACACTTGCAATATACAAAAAAAGACAGATGAAACATTCGAAACATGTATCTAAAACAGTTACAAAAAACAATTGAAAACTATTACAAACATACACAATATCTAGATAAACACACTTGCAACATATGTGTGAAACATATATAACATCCAGATAAACACGCTTGCAACATACATCTGAAAAACAAATGAAACATCGGGGACATATGCTTGCAACATACGTGTACAACCATTGCAACATATGGAACATTCCGAGCTACTTTTGCAACATTTGTTTGGAACACTTGAAACATACCTCTATAACATGTGAGACATTTCAAATGTACACTTGCAGCATGCATCATATCCCAGTGCGGCCTCCTCCGCCATCTACATTGGAGCACTGCAATCGTAGCGAGAGGCGAGGCCGGAGGGCTTCCGTGCCAAGGCCCGACGCTTCTCCTTGCGCTGGCAGCACTTGTCGGCATTGTTGGGCGGAGCGGATGGCGGAGCAAGAGCAACAGCAGGAGCAGCAGGACGAGCGCTCGGAGTAGCGACACGAGCAGCGGGCGCGGGTGCACGGAGCAGCGGCAGGAGCAGCGTGGCCAACGTGTGGAGCAGCGGGCGTGGGAGTTTCGGTAGGAGCTGCAGGCATGGGCGCGCGGGAGCAGCAGGAGCTGCGGCAGGGGAGGAGCGGAGCGGGGGTGGTGGAGTGGGAGATGGATTAATTGACCGGATATTGCGGAGTGGACGATGGATGAATTGACTGAATATATTAAATAAAGGTTGTGTGACATGGCCCCACGCCCTCGTCGGTCGATAGATGAGTAAAGAGTCTGGACACTCATCAAAAAATTACCGTTCATATATTCACAAATCCACCACAAAATACATGTCACATATCAAAGCAGATTCATCACAAATCAAAGAATGGAGGAAGTAGGCTACCAATTAGTGTTTCCAATAACGGCCTAAACTGTTTCTTATATGGGCCTTATTTTCAAGTCTTCGTCTTTAGACAGTCCGGCACGGCAATCCTCTCTTCCTAGAATGGGCAACTTTCCGCCTCCTATGCTCTCCTTGCATCTCGTATCATGCTCCTGCTCCCGCTGGGCGCTGGTAGCACCGGCTCCCGCTACCTGTTCGACGGAATGCTGAAGAAGGACGAGGCCGTGTCCAACTGCACACCCGCTCTCCGGCAGCTAGCGCGGCCTACGGAATGTGGAATGGAGGTCCACGTCCTCACCCGTCCTGCGCTTCAGTCTTCACCAGCGGTTCAGCGACGATTGATGGAACACGGAAGAGGGTCCAACGGCGGAACACGCCTGCTGTTTGGTTTGTGGAGAAAACCCAAACACCGGCCTGCCGTGTGTTCGACAGAATGCCTTAGGGCATGCATCCAGCAGCAAGAAGACTGCTGCTGCTAGTGGGGCGTTAGCATCCTCCCGGAGGATCCGATCCCATCCAGCAACGTCATCACAAGGTTGTTTACTACTACTATCTGGCTATACACATCGGTCGATGCTTTAACTTGATAAGGGAGGTTGTTAACTATATATCATTCTTATGATCTGACTTCTGCTTGTGGAACTTCTGCTGAACTTGGGCTCGTATGGCCAAGCCGCCAAGGAAAAGTGGAGACGGAGAGGGGAAATCCCTGTGCAATTGTAATAAGCAAACAAAAGGCACGTCACAAAATATTCCATTGTTTTTGAAGTGCAAACTCATGTACATCTGCAGACATTCAAATTAAAGATCCGGAGAATAATCAAGAGATGGATGGACAAATCTACAAACATTTGTAACATGGGCGCGTCATTAGTTCACTACTCTGCTTTCTACCGACAACAGGTACTAGCAAGAGGAGTGCTTTAGCCTTTCGTAGTGGAGGTGCTGTTCATGCCCCACCATTTTGATGCCCAGGTACGGTTTCAAGCTTTCGTTTGGCAGGAAGTTTCGCTTTGCCTTTCTTTATCATTATTGACTAGACTTGTGTTTGGCAGGGAAGTTTCGCTTTGTTCACAGACTTGTTGAAGTGCCTCTTCCTCACTAAAGTTATAGGTCACAACTGGCTTCACTTCACTGCCACTGGATGACTGGAGGTCGGGAGGTACCAAAGGCACCATTTTTCTCTCTGCTATCTCGCTAAGCTGCATCACCTACCTTCTGCGGCTCTGCATCCGGCATCCTGATTCATGAACCCAGAAGTTCTGTGATGTTTAGAGCGTGAAATGCAGTGCCATGCCTCGAATTTTGGAGTAGGAGAAAGAAGCTGTCTGAGCTGAAATTCAAGGTACCTACTTCGATCCAGCACAATGTCTGATTAATAGTTCTGCACATCTTTCTCATGTGATTTGCTCAGTAACCAATCGATTCCCCCCCTCTGAATCTTCTCAGTGGGTGCTGTACACACCAAACGTCTGATTGCTGTTGCTCTGGTTTTCTGGAGCCTTTGGTATGCTGATCTTTGACTGTATTCTCACATATATGCTTGTGGTTCGTGATGATGTTACACATATATAGCTGAATTTTCTCGAACACACAGACAGTTAGTTCATAACTTTATTTATTCTCTTGTTGACAATTAATGTTTGTACATTAACAGTAGCAGTGTCGCAGAAGCTTGTAAAACTAAGTATGACTGATGGTTGCAATTTCATCCACAGGGATTTCACAAGAGAATTTATGAAATATGACCGGACTAGAGGCTGCCTTAGCATCTGGGCTGTTGAAGGTCGCAGGCAGCAAGTTACTTCCACTGATTGCCGGTGAATTTGCCTCCATAATGGGTGTAACAAAAGACCTCTCCGAGCTCCAGGATATACTTGCAGAGATTACAAGCTGGCTGTTCACAGTTCGTGACAGAATAGAGAGTGAGCCATCCTGTCGATGGGTTTTAAAATTGAAAAAGTGTTGCTTATGATATTGATGATTTACTGAATGAAGTCTTGATAGAGGCCGAGAAACACAAGATGGGCATCAATGGTGATAACTGTTCTATAGCTGATTATTTCTGTGCAAAACCAAAGTCGTTTCTATTCCAATACAAGGTGGCCCATAAGATCATGGCAATTAAACAGAGATTCTCTGAGATTGTAAAGCAAAGAAGCGATGTCAGCACTATACTGAATAATTTCCCTTCTTATCACCATGCTCTGAGTAGAAAGAGGACAAATGGGGAGATGTCCTTGTTGAGCAATGTTGAACAATCGAGAATACCCACAAGGAATCTGGAGAAGGATGGCATCATAACAAAGCTTATAGAATCTAATGAAGGAGAGAATGACTGGATAGTTTCTATTGTCGGGTTAGGTGGGTCTGGCAAAACTACGCTGGCCAAACAAATCTGCCAAGATGACAAGATAAAGCAGCACTTCAAATCTACAATATTTTGGGTTCATGTGTCCGAAGAATTTGATGTGGAAGAGCTTATCGGGAAGCTTTTTGAAACTATCCTTGAGCAAAAATCAGATCTCCATGCCCAACAGCACATGGTCCATGCAATTTCAAGCAAATTGAGAGGCAAGAAATTTCTTCTTGTCATGGATGATGCTTGGCATGATGACCAGCTTGACTGGGAACAATTCATGGTTCTTGTGAACTGTGGAGCACCTGGAAGCAAGATTCTGCTAACTACTCGTGATCAAAAGGATGCAGAAGCAGCAAAATCTAGAAATATATTCAACCTGCCTTTCTTATCAGAGGTCGAGAGTTGGACCTTGTTTCTAGAGAATTCTGCGTTGGTGGAGGATGATTTGGAGTCTGAGTTTATAGAGGTTGGAAAAGAGATTGTGAATAAATGTGGTGGGGTGCCGCTAGCAATCAGAACTCTAGGCGGTGTCCTCTATGACAAGAGGGAAATAAACACTTGGAGGGCCATAAGAGAAAGTAACTTATGGAATGTTGATAGTATAAAAGACAGAGTGTTTGCATCATTGAAATTGAGCTACTTTCACTTGCCAGATCATCTGAAGCAGTGCTTTACATTTTGCTCTATATTTCCAAAAGGCTATGAAATCACAAAAGGCCACTTGATTGCCCAATGGATAGCCCATAGATTCATTAATCCAATGAATGAAGAGCTGCCAGAAGATATTGGAAGTGCTTACTTTGATTCTCTTACAAAACTCTGCTTTCTTCAAGATGCACCAAGAAATATCTTCACTTGTCAACTAGTATACAAGATGCACGACCTGATTCATGATCTCACTCAACAAATTTTACAGCATGAAATGGTGACATCTCTACAGAAGAATATGTCACCAAACTGTATTCTCAGATGCCGATATTTATCTTTGACTTCAACTAGCGAGAAGGTTTCCAGTAACCTATTTGACAAGGCCCATGCTCTCTATATCTCTGGTGGTAACATATCTTTTGACAAACCAATGAAGAAGTGTTGCAACATCCGTAGTGTTGTTCTGGACTATACAAGTGATACACCATTCCCTCTATTCATACTAAAGTTTGAATTTCTTGGTTACCTAAGGATATGTAATGTTAATTGCACGGAATTTCCAGAAGCTATCTCAAGCTGTTGGAACTTGCAGGCACTTCATATTATGCAGTGCAAAGGCTTTCCAATGTTACCTGAATCTATTGGCAAGCTTAAGAAGCTGAGAACTCTAGAGCTGTTGATGGTTACTGACATTAGGAGTCTACCTCAATCTATTGGTGATTGTCAAGATCTGCGATCTTTGCAGCTATATTCCTGTAACAAACTCATTGAGATACCCAGTTCCATAGGTAAGATTGAAAAGTTAAGTGTGCTTGGTATTGTCAATTGTGTATGTTTGAACAACCAGCTGCAAAACTTTACTTGGGAGCCTAGAAATCTGTATACAATTAATTTATCTGGTTGTCAGAACCTCAGAGATCTTCCAAGTGCCTTTTCTTGTCGTACATTGCGAACTATGGATCTTTCTCGAACCGACATCACCTTACTTCCTCAATGGGTCACATTAATTGGTATTCTGGAATGCATAAAGCTTGAATATTGCACGAAGTTAGTGGAGTTGCCCAAAGACATAACAAACTTAAGAAGGCTCGAAGTATTGTACCTAAATGGTTGCTCAAAACTCCGTTGCATGCCATCAGGGTTTGGCCAGCTGACTCGTTTGAGATGGCTTGGCCTGTTTGTTGTGGGATGTGATGGAGATGCTGCAAGAATATCAGAGCTTGAAAATCTTGATATGATTAGTGGTTGGCTGAGAATTTGTAACCTCAAATATCTAAAGGATCTAGGTGATGCTAAGAAAGCTTGCTTGAAGAAGAAGAATAACATACATTCACTGACATTGAATTGGTTTCGATATGAAACAGAAGAAGAGTTAGTGTCAGATATTGGAGAAGACCTGAGGGTGCTCGACTGTCTTGAACCACCATCAGGAATTGAGTTCTTACAAATTATTGGTTATCTGGGTCCCCATTTGCCATGTTGGATGAGGAAGCAATGTGATTCTTCTTGTATGGAATCCATTATGCCAAATCAAACCAGCTCACCTAAATTCCTTTGGCTAACTGAACTATCACTCAAACTGTTGCCTAACTTGAAGTGTCTGCAAGGACTTGTGGAGTTGCCTTCGTTGAAAAACTTATCGTTGATCCAAATGCCTAATTTGGAAGAGCTGTGGATTACCAATGGTTTGGAAATTGGTGAGCAAAAGGTGGGAGTGCAGTATTATTGTTTCCCTGTGCTAACCAATCTACATATAGACCGCTGCCCAAAATTGTTTGTGAAGCCCTGGTTGCCGCCATGCTTGGAGGAGTTGACATTCGAAGAAAGCAATGAACAGCTGCTGTCTCCAGGTAGTTTGTTCTCTTATCTGCCAACACCTCCAGTGTCATCCTCCTGCAGCGTGCTTGTGGCAGTTCCTACTCTCAAGGAGCTGAGGCTACACAGAGTGACGGGCTCAGCACCGGTTTGGCAAATTTTACAGCACTTCACCTCCCTCCAGCTGCTACACATCGTGGAATGTTCCACTCTTTGCAAGCTGCCTGAGGGGATCCAGCACCTCACCTCCCTTCAACAGCTCGAATTGGCAGAATGTGATGCATTGACATTGCTTCCAGAGGGTATCGGACAATTGTCTGCACTTCGATCACTCCGTATCAGCGAATGTGCTGCCCTTGAATTCCTGCCCCAGTCCATAAAACGTCTTACAGCCCTGCAGAAATTGTTTGTTTTTGGCTGCCGTGGCTTGGCCAGGCGTTACGAGGAAGGAGTCGGGGATGACTGGCACCTTATCTCCCATAGTCTTCTTGGGCTTAGCTTTAGGCCCATTAGAAGCCCGTCTCCAATCTTGGGCCGCGGTGCTTGTGAAGGCTTCTCTCTCTGGCGAAAACAACAAGGTCTCCGCTTGAGCCGCTGGTGCCTCCGCTCTCGCTTCTGCGCCTCCGTGAAAGGTCTTAATGGCTAGAGGGGGGTGAATAGCCTATTAAGAAATTCTACAACAACACTTAACAAATCGGTTAGATAATTATGAGGCGAAGCGAGTGTTGCGCTAGCCTACTAAAAATGCAAGCCACCTATCATAATTCTAGTTTATATAGTTTCTATTCACACAATAACTATGTCACTACACTAAGTTAGTGTGCTCTCAAAAGCTAACTAAAGAGCCACACTAACCAAACTAACAAGCTCTCACAACTAGCTACACTAAAGAGCTTGATAACTAGTTTGCGGTAATGTAAAGAGAGTGAGCAAGATGGTTATACTGCCGAATCGAGGAGTGGACCAATCAATCACAAGAATGAATACCAATGAAGACCAATCACCTCGGAATCAAATGATGACACAATGATTTTTTACCGAGGTTCACTTGCTTGCCGGCAAGCTAGTCCTCGATGTGGCAATTCACTCACTTGGAGGTTCAAGCGCTAATTAGCATCACACGCTAAACCCTCAATAGGGTGCCACACAATCAACACAAGATGAGGATCACACAAGCCACGAGCAGTTTACTAAAGTACCTTTTGGCTCTCCGCCTGGAAAGGTCAAGAACCCCTCACAATCACCACGATCGGAGCCGAAGACAATCATCACCCTCCGCTCGACGATCCTCGCTGCTCCAAGCCATCTAGGTGGCGGCAACCACCAAGAGTAACAAGCAAATACCGCAGCGAAACACGAACACCAAGTGCCTCTAGATGCAATCACTCAAGCAATGCACTTGGATTCTCTCCCAATCTCACAAAGATGATGAATCAATGATGGAGATGAGTTGGAGGGCTTTGGCTAAGCTCACAAGGTTGCTATGTCAATGCAAATGGCCAAGAGAGTGAGCTAGAGCCGGCCATGGGGCTTAAATAGAAGCCCCCATGAAATAGAGCCGTTGTACCCCTTCACTGGGCACAACACGGGGTGACCGGACGCTCCGGTCATATTGACCGGACGCTGGACCTCGGCGTCCGGTCACGCGATGCGTGCCACGTGCCCCCTCTCTTCAAATGTTGATCGCCCGATCTCAACGGTCAAGTGACGACCGGATGCGCTGCTGTGAAGTGACCGGACGCTGGACCTCAGCGCCCGGTCATTTCCAGTAAGCATCCAGAGACGATTTTTCACGACCGGACGTGTCCGGTCATGCTTGACCGGACACAGCCAGCGTCCGGTCAGACACCCTCAACACTGTGTGTTGCCACGTCAGCAAGACCAGACGCAACGTTCCAGCGTCCGGTCACTGAGTGACCCAGTGTCCGGTCAGAGACCGACACCAGCGTCTTCGCGGCTTCTGCTGACTGGATGCACCGGTCAAACCGAGGCCAGCGTCCGGTCACTTCCAGTGACCTCCGTCTTTTCTGTCTAGGGCGCCGGTGGCACCGTCAGACTGTCCACACTCTACGGGCGAACACTCCGCCGGTGAAGTTCCTAACCCTTGCTCAAATGTGCCAACCACCAAGTGTGTCATCTTGTGCACATGTGTTAGCATATTTTCACAAACATTTTCAAAGGTGTTAGCACTTCACTAGATCCTAAATGCATATGCAATGAGTTAGAGCATCTAGTGTCACTTTGATAACCGCATTCCGATATGAGTTTCACCCCTCTTAATAGTATGGCTATCAATCCTAAATGTGATCACACTCTCTAAGTGTCTTGATCACCAAAACAAAATAGCTCCTACTATTTATACCTTTGCCTTGAGCCTTTTGTTTTTCTCTTTCTTCTTTTCAAGTCCAAACACTTGATCATCACTATGGCATCACCATCATGTCATGATCTTTATTTGCTTCACTACTTGGAATGTGCTACCTATCTCATGATCACTTGATAAACTAGGTTAGCACTTTAGGGTTTCATCAATTCACCAAAACCAAACTAGAGCTTTCACTCCACCTGTGGACTGCTTTAGACGTCTTATAGGATCATGCTCAGGCCTCCGCCTAATCGCCGGTTGGTGGCGAAGGCCTTCCTGCAGCCGGCGGTGGCTTTCCAGGTTTCTCCTCGAAACACGCTCGGGGCCTCCGCTTGCTTTGCTATGGTCTCCGCACCGTCTCAGGCTCCATGCGAAGGCTTTATCTAGCGTCCCTACAAAACATCCACAAATGACCCAATGGTATTAGCTTATGTTTACTTCAGCCTCCGCTACTCGTGTATTGGTGTTCCACAAATGATCCAATGCGAAGGCTTTATCTCACGAATAGTCATGACCGTTGGCGTTCGGAATTCAAAGCATCCCCCGTGTCCTATATAAGGGGGGGGGTTGGTGGGGAGGTCCCTATCGTACCACTCGAGCCATCGCTTTCATTGCTGTAGCTTTTCAAGCACGCGGCTAGCGTTGGTTTGCTGTCTTGCTTTAGTGCCTTAGAATTTTCCTTGCGCTACTGCTCCTTTTGGTTTTGCATTGCCTTCGGAAGTGGCTTCACCTTCTGGCTCTAACCTTTGCTGGCCTAGCGTTAGGGGTTCTTATCCCTGCTTGCTTGGCGTGAGGTCTAAGGGTTGGTCACGGAGGTACGAAGAGTGTATGTCTGCGTCTGCGGAGGCTCAAGACAACCTAGAGAATATTGAAGCTTCTGTCGGAGACCTGATTCCCATTTCCCCAGTTAAGAAGTCAAAGATTCAGATTTCCAAGTCTTGGGATTTTGGGCCTTCGCTCATGACGGGAGAGACGATAAAGGCACTGGAATATGAGGGTTGTTTTCCAGCAGGGAAGGGTCATCCTTCGCATGGTGAGACTGTGCCTCAACCAAAGGTTGATGAGGCTGTTGTTTTTAAAGATTTCTTTGCTTGTGGCCTTTGCATACCTCTAGTTTATTTTCTCCGCTTGGTTCTTGAGACCTTCAAGGTGTAGCCCCATCATCTTACTCCTAACAGCATTCTGACGCTGAGTAAGTTTTGCTACGTCTGTGAGACATATGGCACTCCCTCGGATTTGGATACTTTTTGTACATACTATGAACTTCAGAGTCAGCCTAAGAAGGTGAAGGTTGACGGTGTTGAGGTGGAGTATCAGTTCACCAGTTGCGCTTTCATGGCGAAGAGGGCCCAGAAGGAAGGCAGTTTGGAGATCTCTTTTGTGCAGAAAAAATAAATGGGAGAAGGACTGGCCTAGGTACTGGTTCTATTTGAAAACTCCTGATGTTATTCCCAAGACAGGGCCGAAGGTCAAGATGTACCCTTTTGCTTCTACTATGGGGGACATGAAGCCTTTGACTCATGTGAGACCTCCTACGGAGGTTGATGCGGAGAGGGCAGCGCGTGACGTGGCTTTTGGCAAGGCTTGCCGCTTCTCTAGGGGCTGTGACCTTGTCGAGGAGATGGTGGTGTCCAACTTCTGGTCTTTGGGAAAACATAGGCCACAAATGACCTTGGTGAGAATGAAACTCCTGGTCTTCAGCAGCGCGAAGGGAGAGTTTTGTCGGTGTTTCTATCTTACCCGTGTGGAAGACAAGACCGATGAGGAGTTTGTTAGTGAGGTGGAATAGTCCGCCTCCAAGATCCTTGGGGAGATTTCCGAGAGGGAATATCTATCCTGTTGTGCCATCGGCGGTACCATGCCCTGGCTAAACTAGGTGTTTGAAGAGATGAAGGTGAAGTACGGGGATCGTAAGGTTCCCGAGAAGGTTTTGAAATCGATGGAGGATAAGGCCGCAAAGGCCTCTAAGTCTACTGTGGCCCCCGTTGCTACAGTTTAGGTTGAATCTAAAAGGAGGAAAGAGGTTGATGCTCCGAAGGCTGTTGCCAAGAAGAGGAGGGTGGCAAAGAGCGCCGTGGACTCTGCTAAAGAGGTGGTGGAGAGTGCTCAAGATGAGTCAGGGGCTACGCATCCCATTGTTGATGCTGGTCAGTCACAGGTTTTTGTTGGCCGCCTGGATGAAGACCTAATGGGCTCGTCTGTTAAGGTGGCACTTGTTGTTTCTGGGGCGGAGGTGTCCATAGTGAACCCATTGCCCTGTATTCTTGGAGACGACTCATCTGAGTCCGAGGGTGACGCTGCAAGAACTGGTTCTGCCTTTGCCTCCGCCAGTGAAGAGACTTCTATCAAAGTTGGCCACTCTACGAAGGCCCAACATTTGGAGGAGTCAGAGGCTGAGTCCGAAGAATGGCCGTCTCCAGTCTTGCCCTAAGGTCTGGAGGCTACATTGACCTCGCCCCGTGCTATGGGTATTGGGGCGTCAGGTTTTATTGTTGAACCTTTGCACTTAGGTAACACTATCTAAGGTCCCTCCTGTATCTTATTTGTTTTTGTAGGTCTTTCTGATATTCGTTGTTTTCGTTTCTTAGCTGGTTTAACCAAGGCGATGGAGACGCCGATTTCGGGGGAGAAACCCACTCCTGTTGGCGTGGATCTTGCTCGAGTGGGGTTGCGTGGTCCTCCGAAGGCCCTGCTACAGGTTGTATTTGGTCCTTCGAGGATACGCCCCCTGTGGATGGAGGTTTGATTGGCTCTGCACTTGTATTTTTCTTTGACCTTGCCATTGCTTCAGTTTTTAATGTTCGCTTTTGCTGTAGGTGAAGGTTCTGCCGATACACTAAGTGGGTGGGCAGAAACCTTTCATGCTCTTTACAGCGAGATAGGAGGTTGCGTTTCGTATATATATTTTCTATTGGTTTTGCCTTACTTTTCTCTTATATTTTGTCTTTTTGCTAGATCGTTGTCGATGTTTCACCACCGATAGCCTGCCATGGGGGTACCTGGGGCAGTTTGTTCGGGCTTCAGTGTATGCAGAACTCGACGGTAAATGCAAGAGACAGTCGATTTATCCTAGTTTAGGCCCTCGATCATGATCTAGTAATAGCCCTACGTCCAGTTGGCATTAGCCTTTGCGTTGGATTGATTGCAAAGTGTTTGAAAGCTCTAGTTTGGTTTTGGTGAATTGATGAAACCCTAAGTGCTAACCTAGTTTATCAAGTGATCATGAGATAGGTAGCACACTCCAAGTGATGAAGCAAATGAAGATCATAGCATGATGATGATGATACCATGATGATGATAATGTGCTTGGACTTGGAAAGAAGAAAGAGAAAAACAAAAAGCTCAAGGCATAGGTATAAACCTTAGGAGCTATTTTGTTTGGTGATCAAGACACTTAGAGAGTGTGATCACATTTAGGATTGATAGCCGTACTATTAAGAGGGGTGAAACTCGTATCGGAATGCGGTTATCAAAGTGCCACTAGATGCTCTAACTCATTGCATATGCATTTAGGATCTAGTGGAGTGCTAACACCTTTGAAAATGTTTGTGAAAATATGCTAACACATGTGCACAAAGTGATACACTTGGTGGTTGGCACATTTGATCAAGGGTGGTGAAGTTTGGGAGCAAGGGTAAGAAACTCCACCGGCGGAGTGTCCGCCCGTAGAGTGCGGACAGTCCGACGGTGCCACCAGCGCCCTAGACAGAAAAGATAGAGGTCACTGTGAGTGACTGGACGCTGGCCATGGTTGGACCGGCATGTCTGGTCAGGTGTAACAGCGAAGACACTGGGTCGCTCTGCGACCGGACGCTGGCAGGGTGCGTCCAGTTAGTGCTGACGTACGCTGACGTGAGGTGCACAGAGGAGACGTCGTCTGACCGGACGCTGGCAGGGTCCGGTCAAGCATGACTGGACGAGTCCAGTCGGCAAAATTCATGTTTGGAACTTTACTGGAAACGACCGGACACTGAGGTCCAGCATCCGGTCACTTTCTAACTAACGCGTCCGGTCAACTGATGACCATTGAAATCTAACGAACAGTATTTGAAGCGGGGGACACGTGGCGTGAATCACATGACCGGACGCTAAAGGCCAGCGTCCGGTCGATCGGACCGGAGCGTCCGGTCACCCCGTGCTGTACCCAGTGAAGGGGTATAACGGCTCTATTTTGTGGGGGCTTCTATTTAAGCCCCATAGCCGGTTCAAGCTCACTCTCTTGGCCATTTTGCATTGACATAGCAACCTTGTAAGCTTAGCCAAAGCCCTCCCACTCATCTCAATCATTGATTCATCATCTTTGTGAGATTGGGAGAGAATCCAAGTGCATTGCTTGAGTGTTTGCATCTAGAGGCACTTGTTGTTCGTGTTTCGCTGTGGGTTTCGCTTGTTACTCTTGGTGGTTGCCGCCACCTAGACGGCTTGGAGCAGCGAGGATCATTGAGCGGAGGGTGGTGATTGTCTTCGGCTCCGATCGTGGTGATTGTGACGGGTTCTTGACCTTTCCCTAGCGGAGAGCCAAAAGGTACTCTAGTGGATTGCTCGTGGCTTGTGTGATCCTCATCTTGTGTTGGTTGCATAGCGCCCTATTGAGGGTTTGGCGTGTGATGCCAATTAGCGCGTGAACCTCCAAGTCAGTGAATCGCCACAACGAGGAGTAGCTTGCCGGCAAGCAAGTGAACCTCGGTAAAAAATCATTGTGTTCATCCTTTGATTCCGAGGTGATTGGTCTTCATTGATATTGATTCTTGTGATTGATTGGTTCACTCCTCGACACGGCAGTATAACTATCTTACTTACTCTCTTTACATTACCGCAAACTAGTTGTCAAGCTCTTTAGTGTAGCTAGTTGTGAGAGCTTGTTAGTTTGGTTAGTGTGGCTCTTTAGTTAGCATTTGAGAGCACACTAACTTAGTGTAGTGACATAGCTATTGTGTGTTACTTACTATATAAACAAGAATTGTGGTAGGTGGCTTGCTTTTTGAGTAGGCTAGCGCAACACTTGCTTCGCCTCATATTTGTCTAACCGTTTTGTTAAGTGTTGTTGTAGAAATTTTATTAGGCTATTCACCCCCCCCTCTAGCCATTAGGACCTTTCAAGTGGTATCAGAGCCGAGGTCACCGTGATTTGAGGCTTAACAACCTTCGGTGTAAAAATGGCTCAAATCAACAACACCAAGAAGCCACCCCAATTTGTTGGCACAAATTATCCTTATTGGAAATCAAAGATGACCACACATATCAAGTCAATCAATAGAAGAGTGTGGAAGGTGGTAGAAACCAAAATTGAGATTGAAGATCTGGAAAATCCCACCGTGGCCGAAGAAGTACTTCTCCAAAATAATGACATTGCTCTAAGTGCTATTCATGATGCAATTGATGAGAGAACATTTGAGCAAATCAAGAATATTGAGATGGCTCATGAGGCTTGGAAGAAGTTGGAAGAATCATTTGAAGGCACTCAAGCCGTGAAGGGTGCAAAGGCATACATTCTCAAAGAGAAGTTTGCAAACTTCAAGATGAAGGAAGATGAGAGTGTGTCGGAGATGTTCCATAGGCTTTAAGTGCTTGTCAATGATCTCAAAGCACTTGGAGAAGAGGTGAAGGACAAGGACTTCTCTCACAAGTTCTTGAGATGCTTACCTTCAAGATTTGGCACATTGGTCACTATTCTAGTAAGAAGTGGTTTGGACACCATGACACCAAACCAAGTGTTGGGAGACATCATGACCGATGATACATATAGAGATGATGATGAGAAGGAAGAAAAGAGGGAGAAGAAAGATGACAAGAAGGATGACAAGAAGAAGAGTGTGGAATTCAAGGCCACATCATCCAAGGGCAAAGCCAAGCAAGAAACATCAAGTGAAGAAGATGATTCATGGGATGATGATGATGATGAGAAGATGGCTCTCTTTGTCAAGAGATCTGGCAAGTTCATGGTGAAGAAGGGCTATCGTGCTAGAAGAAAGAAGTCTTCATCCAAGAACAAAGAAGAGTCAAGAAGGTGCTTCAAGTGTGGAAGCAAAGATCATCTTGTTGCTCAATGTCCATACAATAGCGACATTGATGATGACAAGAAGAAGGACAAGAAGGAAAAGAAAGAGAAGAAGGACAAGATGGCCTTCAAGAAGAAGAAGGGTGGTTCATATGTGGTCACTTGGGATAGCGATGCTTCCTCAAGTGATGATGATGACGATAGTGATGATAACAAGACCACCAAGAAGAAGGTTCTAGCAAGCATTGCCATCAATGAGAAGCCTTCTCTCTTCAACTCTTCATCATGCTTCATGGCTAAGGCCACTAAGGTACAAACTTGTGATGATGAAAGTGATGAAGAACATGATGATGATAATGAAAATGAAAATGATAGTGATAGTGATGATGATGAACCTACTAAGGATGAATTAATTGACATGCTAGAAGATGCTAGAGAACACTTTGACATCAAGAGAAGGGAATGCAAAAGGTTGCGTAAGGAACTAAAAGCCCTTAAGCAAGCCTTTGATGAGCTCAATGCATCTCATGAGTGGCTAGAGGAAGCCAATGAGAAGCTTGGCAAAGCTCACAAAAAGCTTGAAAAGGCTCATTCCTCTTTGCTTGATGAGCAAAATAAAAAGAAGCATGTTGATACTTGTAATATAGGTTTAACTTGTGATATAATTGATGAATCACTATCTTTGCCTATCATTGTTCCTTCTACTAACCCTTCTTGTAGTACTTCCACTTCCACCTCATCTAATAGTGATGGTCTCACTTGTGATGCCTCACTAGTGGTTGAGAATGAGAATCTCAAGAAGGAGGTTAACAAGCTCACTCACACTTTGGCTAAGGCCTATGGTGGTGAGGACCGCTTGCTTATATGCTTGGGTAGCCAAAGAGCTTCTCTCTACAAAGAGGGATTGGGCTATACCCCCAAGAAAGGTAAGGCGACCTTTGCTCCTCACAAGACTAGTTTTCTGAAGAACAATGGTCGGTTTTGCATTAGTTGCAAGCAAGTGGGTCATAAAGAGCATGGATGCACCAACAAGAGCAAAAATGCTAATGTATCCTCCCTTAAGCTTGATTCATGCTATATGCTTACTAAGGGTACAAATGGTGTGAAGGCTAAGTTCATTGGTAAACCATGGATGGGCTCAAAGAAGAAAGTCATTTGGGTACCAAAGAGCTTAGTGACTAACCTTCAAGGACCCAAGCAAGTTTGGGTACCTAAAAAGAATTGATCTTCTTTTGTAGGTCAATTACAAAGCCGGAGGAAGGCATTGGGTTCTTGATAGTGGGTGCACTCAACACATGACCGGTGATGCAAGAATGTTCAACTCAATCAACACCAATGGCAATGATGGTTATGATAGTATCACATTTGGTGACAATGGCAAAGGCAATGTCAAAGGGCTTGGTAAGATTGCAATATCCAATGACATGAGCATATCCAATGTGTTGCTAGTAGAGAGCTTGAACTTTAACTTGCTATCCGTGGCTAAATTGTGTGATCTTGGATTCAAATGCATATTTGGGGTAGATGATGTAGAGATCATAAGTGTAGATGGCTCTAACTTGATCTTCAAAGGCTTTAGATATGAGAATCTATACTTGGTTGATTTCAATGCTAGTGAAGCTAGATTATCTACATGCTTGTTTACTAAGTCTAGCATGGGTTGGTTATGGCATAGAAGGCTTGGTCATGTTGGAATGAAACAATTGAATAGATTGGTTAAGCATGACTTGGTTAGAGGCTTG